CTTACCTGACCCTAACCCTAACCCTAACCCAGCAGGCGGACCTGCGGCGGCAGCCAAAGCTCCTCGGCAGCGGGCGGGACGAGATCCGACGCTCGCACACAGAGACGGTCAAGGCGAGCAACAAGCAGCACAAGACGCTGCTCTCCGAGGCCAACAAGATGCCCAAGAGCCCCGACAGGTCGGACACGCTCAAGCGGCACAAGGCCGAGCAGGCGCAGCGGCTGAGCCGGCTCGAGGAGCAGCACAAGCAGAGCATCGCCGACTTTGTGCGCAACTTCAATGAGCAGGTGGAGAAGACGCACGCGGGTTGGTGGGACAAGCACCGCGCCGAGTTCGAGACGGCGCGCGCCAGCGTCGCCTCCTACCAGGCGGCGCGCGCCGAGACGTTTGCGGCCAAGCACGCGGAGGAGCAGCGCCAGCTCGAGGCTGACCGCGCGGCCGCCCAGGTGGAGCTCAGAGGCTTCGAGGCGGACGAGGAGACGCGGCTGGAGGAGCAGCGGCAGCGGCAGGTGCAACTGGCGGGGCGGCACGAGGAGGAGCTACACGAGCTCACGATCTCGCACGTCACGTCGACGCGGAGGATATCTATTTGAGCGGCTCACGCTGCACACGCATGCTTACGTTTACGAGAAGGTTGCAAGTCGCGCGAGTACCTCTGTTGGAGATTTTTATTATTTGTTGATTGTTGTCGTGTCGTGACGTCGCGTGAGATCTTTTGTTCTACTGTCTCGTGACGTGTGTAGGTATGTAAGTGAGGTATGTAAGTGTCGACTTGTCTCAATGTACAATGTCTGCAAAAAAAGGGGAGGGGAGGGGGGGCGATTAGAGCTGGATATACGTACCGCGGTAGGGGCCTCCCATCCTGACTAGGTCCAGCCCTGGGTGGCGCAAGATCTGACGTTTTGTGTCTGTAAGTATAAAGATGAGAGTGAGGTTGAACCGGACCCAATCAAAGTCGGCGGGTTTCGAGGGGGGGGTATGACGAAAAACGGCGGGCGCATTTGGGCACATGACAGGGAGAACTCTGTGGTGGACCCGCTGGGCGAAAGGAGCTCGCAGACCGTTGCAGCCTCACGATGTCATTGAGCGGAGCGAGTGCGAGCGCGGCGGCCAAGCAGCGGCACCAGCCACCAGGAGTAGCGGCGAGCTGACACGAGCGCGCTCGTCGATGCGGCGAGGGGGCAGAGGCAGATGCCCGAGCTGCCGCCGTACGTGCCAGAATTCGACCTCGCGTTCATGTCTCAGATGCTGGGCGGTGGAGCTGTCTGGTCGGAGCCAGAAGACCCAGCCACTGGCGATGACGAGACGATGATGCAGGAGGCCGCCGTCGACATTGCCCTCCAGCTTTTGACGGATGACGGGGGGCTGCAAGCGCTGCTCGCATCTGATGAACCGAGCGCAGAGAGGGTTGCGCTGGAGGGCCCGACAACGCGCTTGCAAACTCGCGTGCGAGGTTTTTAGGTTAGGTGTAGGAAGGTGAAGAACAGCCAGGCTCGGACTGGACACCAACGCGGTATGGGTGGACGCTGGACAGATGATGACGACACCACGACACGCACGAGCGACACACAGACACAAAAGGCTCGAGGTTGGATCAGCTTTACTGACATCATGACAATCGTCAGATCCGTGTTTTTTTGGT